GCGGCCGGCCTCGTGACCCGCTTCGGCGGCTCCCCAAAGATAAAAAAGGTGCACGTCCGCGCGCTCCGCGAGATGACCGCGCTGCACGAGGCGCACGACATTGGCCTCCACATCACCGGCTCCATCCGCCTGATTGAAAAGGGCAACCCGGACCGGCTCACAGAGGCCAAGCAGCACGTGGCGATGGCGGCGCTGTACGACGACCCCGGCCTGCCGACGACGCTAATCACGCCCGAGGAGGTTGCCGCTCTGCACCCGCTCGTCGACACCTCCGGCGTCGATGCTGGCGTCTTCACGCCGCGGGACGGCGATGTCGACCCGACGCTCCTCACCACCTGCGTCGCCGGCCTGGCAAAGGCTGACGGTGCGGAGTTCGTCCACAACGCAGAGGTGGAGACGATCGAGCGGCGGAGCGACGGCACGTTTGAGGCGCGCCGCCGCGCCCTCCGCCCTCCTTCTCCTCTTCTCTCTCCGCACCCCGCGCCGCCTCTCGCGCCCGCGCCGCGCCTCACCTCGCGCCCGCCCTCCTCCGACCCGCGCCCGGCGGCGCGTCAGGTGCGTACGGGCGCCGGCGCGGTGTTCGAGGCGGACGCGGTCGTGAATGCCGCCGGGCTCTGGTCGCGCCGCTTCTCGCGCCAGCTGGGCCTCGAGCAGACGCACCCCGCGTCTGTGGTCGAGCACCGGTACTCTGGGAAGTGTCTGGGAAGTGTCTAGGAAGGTTCTAGGCACCCCGCGTTTGTGATCGAGCACCAGTACGCCATCACCGAGACCATCCCTGCGCTCAAGGGGAAGGTGGGCGACGGCGAGCGCGTGCCCGTGCTGCGAGACCTCGCTGGCTCCTCCTACATCCGGCAGGAGACACCTCCTAGACACTTCCTAGACGCTTCCTAGACACTGCCTAGACACTTCCTAGACACTGCCTAGACACTTCCTAGACACTGCCGTGTTCACACCTTGACGTGGCTCGCTCCTCCTACATCCGGCAGGAGCGCGACGGGCTGCTCGTCGGCCCATATGAAGGCCTCCTCTCTCCGGGCGAGCGGGGAGGAGGGGCCGGCCGCTCTGCGCGCCGCGCCAAGCGATACACGCGCGCGAGGCACGTTGGGCATAGGCGAGCAGGCAGAGGTGCGGACCGATCACTGACTGCGAGGTAATACTAATGGATGAGTCTCCGCTCCAAGGCGAGCAGACAAAGGTGCGGACCGAGTGGGCCGAGGGGCCGCCCTCGCACTTCGCCTTCGACCTCTTCCCGCCATCCCTCGACCGGCTCGAGGGCTGCTTGCTCTCGGCCATGTCGGTGAAGACGAGAGCCGGGATGGCCATCAGACCGCTAGTCGAGCGGGAGAGATCTGATGAGTAGAGCCAACATTCAACAGTGCCCCCTCCTCCCCTACACCCCTACACCCCTGCACCCCTACACCCCTACACCCCTGCCCCCTGCCGCCTCCCCCCTGCACCCCTGCACCCTGCACCCTGCACCCCTGCACCCCTGCCCCCTGTGCCGCGCCACCGGCCGTCTCTAGGCCGTCTCTAGGCCGTCTCTAGGAAGTGCCTAGGAAGTCTCTAGGAAGTCTCTAGGAAGCGTCTAGGAAGTGTCCCTATCCCCTGCGCCACGCCACCGGCCGTCTCCAGCAGCGCGTCGACGCTCCCGCTCCCGCCAGGTCGTGCCCGCACTCGGCGAGGTCTTCAAGTCTTGACTGCTTCACTGAGGCATCGCCCCTTCCTCAGGTCGTGCCCGCACTCGGCGAGGTCGGCTTCAAGTCCATCGTCAACGGGCCAACCATCTGGACGGGCGACTCGCTCGCGCGGTGCGAGCTTTCACCCTCACCCTCACCCTCACCCTCACCCTCACCCTCACCCTC